CCTGAACTCCCAGCTAAACCATTGTTGCTGCTGGTGGCTCGGACTGTGACCAGACAAAAGAACTTAAGGTCATTCATAAGAAGTAAGGCATGTACACTCAGCCCCCGCTTTCTGCCTATCTATCTTCTGAACCAAGAGCATTGCAGTGAAGATGAGTTACCAGCACAAAAAACAGTGCGTGACTCTACCAGACATACCTGCATCACAAAAAAAGTGAGATGGAGGAAATGCAGAGTTTGCACGGGATTTTTAAAGGAGCATGATTTTGTCCTTTCCCTGATTAGAAAATGCATTAAAAAGAAATCTTTTGGGGCTCATCAAAGAGAGATGGAAAGAAAGTTCATAACTGCACTTATATGAATCCCAAATTTAAAAATACATCTAAAATGAATGAGCAGGAATTCTGTTCTGGTGAGCCCTACTCCTCAGGAATTCATGTTTGCTGGGAAAGAGGCAAACTCTCTTATCAGGGAAGTCACTCTACTGAAGGGAGAGCAATTTCTCCCAATCGGAGTGTGAAGCATGACATATCCTGCTCTTAAATCATTTATATTTTACTTTTTTATGATGCAATCATGAATTAGCTTTTTCTGCATTTGTAATTAGAGGATAGAACAGATGGTCAGGGCTTAGTTCAGGGTGATAAATCCATTAAGATAACCTACAGAAAGCTGCTGCTACGGCAGTTGCTGCCAAATAACTGTTCATTCAATGCTTTGTTCAGGCTTTGGGTACTGGGTAGAAGAACCATCCCAGTTCTGCACTACCTTGAGGTACAAGGGATAAGAAATCCCACACAAGTTTGGGGAATGTATTATTACTGTATATGTGGCACAAGAAACTTGGATAGTATGATATAGGGGACGTATAGGGCAATCCAGGAAAATAGCCTGGAGTCATTGCTCCCTAATAGCTACCCCTGCAGATACACTCACTCCATCCCAGAGCACATGTCTGCTTTTCAAAGTGGATGAAATTTAGCTGAACAGGTGGCCCAATCACAGAGCAGAGTTTTCTCTCAAGGAGTGATTGCAAAATATCCGTTTCACTTTGAATTCATGTCTTCACTCATTTTGCAAGAAATTTCTCAAAGCATTTAGAATTCTAGAATAATTTATCCTGGACAGGACCTATGGAGGGCCTTTGGTCTAATCCATCTCAAATCATCTGTCACATTGGACCAAACCTATAGGTCCCTTCCAAATGGAACTATTCTATTCTATTCTATTCTATTCTATTCTATTCTATTCTATTCTATTCTATTCTATTCTATTCTATTCTATTCTTTCTATTCTATTCCATTCCATTCCATTCCATTCCATTCCATTCTATTCTAATTCCATCCTTTGGCTTAAGCTAGACCACAAATATAACCTATTTTTTTTAAACAGAGGTCAGAATAATTAGGTAACATATAGCTTATGATTAGCAAAATGAGATATTAAATTGTAAAGCAAACAAGGCAAAAATTGTGTGTTTGTTATTTCTGATGATATCTTTGACCTGAATTACATTATGCTACTCCACAACTGAACCTCAGCAGAATCTGTGGGTCAGCCTCACAGAGGGTCAGATCTCTGTTCAGTCTCTCTGTGCCTCTGAAAACCAGCAGTACCCTTTCCCAAGATGTTCTGGCAATTCTGCTACTAATAATTTTTTCTGAAATCCCTTTCAATCATTGGAATTCAGCACGAGAGCATTACCACATGCCTTTGGATAGCATTTCCTTGTGGAAACAGTATCTCCATATACCAGGAGCTGAGAGTTTTCACATGTGAGTGGCTAGAAACTAGCTGTGGAGTTGTATCAAATCTGTTAGAGGAGGGGGAAGACTGTGCTGAAGAAGGATGAAGAGTTCCTGCAATCATCTCCTACAAAAGCAGTGAGGATTTCTGTGGGGGAAATGGATGCTGCCACAGATACAACCTACCCACCCAAGTGCTCATGCCGGTCCCCTTTTCTTCATTCTCCAGGGACCTGAGCACCCAGTACTACTACATGTGACAGGTCCAAGCCAAATTCTTGTACACTGAGCTCCCATAGGTTTCAATGGGAACGTCCCATAGGAGGGGACTTACATTAGGTATGACAAAATGAGCAGAGGAAAACTGATTGCATACAAATACATATAAAATCAAAATACCCCTACTTCAGTGTTTTCTTCCATACACATTAATATCAGGGGCTTTATTAACAAAAGCTGCTTAAGCAGAGGTTTGAATTTGAGCAGGGTTCATTTGATTTCTGCACCTCACCACTTCCTGGCTGACTGCTCAGTATCTGCCAGCGTAGGCATTATGTGATGCTTTGCTTGTCCCCAAAGCTGTCAGTCAAGACAGAGCCTGGGCTAGGAAATGGTTAGAGCCCGAATAAATATTAGTAGGATAGTCTGGACCGTGACCGCTTCCCTCCTACTCTCGCCTTCACCCGCCTACACACATGCTGCTGCTGCTGCCTCAGCGCAAAGTAACGCTACAGGAGGAGCTGAGGAGCTTCTCCCCCATCTACACACATCTAATAAGACATTGTGCTTTTGATGAGTGACCCTTCCCTGGATGCAGCTTGTGTATGTGCTGGGGTCAGGTGACGTTTTTAACAAGAAACCCACTGAATTACAATTCAGGGAGAATTTAGTTGAAAATTTACATAATGTAGCTAGGGGAGACTTTTAACTGCTTCCTCTTGTGCATAAGGGAGAAAAAAAAAAAAAGGAGGAAAATTAAGTAACAGCCTAATTGGCTTTTATAACAGTCTATGGGGAGAAATGCAGGCTGGTTCTCTGCCTAGCTACAAAGCTTGGTATGTGCTGTAACCATGGCAGGCAATATTACAGGCATGACAGGACAATGATTTGGTTTTTCAGCACTGAGGATCTGAAAATATTAAATACCTCCAGCCGGGGGGGTTGTTTTCTGCTTGAGGAAGAGCTGTCATGCTGCTTTGGAGGACTGCAGGTCAGACTTCTGCTGGAGGGAAAAATGGAGGATCTGATCTGGCGGTGCACCCCCTCAATGTGGATCAGGGCCATTGGGATGAACAGGATCTACCTCTTCTACCACCACGCTCATTTTAATTAAGGAGCAGCTTGCAATAAACTGGATAACAGAGAGGATGAGGCCAGGGCTGGCTAGCCTAATGCCTTCTGCTCCCACTGCTCCCCTGGGTGCATGGCCCAGGTGCCCGCTCCCCTCCTCCAGAGCCCGAGGAAGGTGGCAGAGCAATGGGCCTGTGCTGGTTCAGTTCCCACTGCCTCGAAACTGCTGCATTTTGGGATAGTACCAGTACAAAGAGCTGCAAGGAAGATATTGATGGTTCGTTTTTTATTGAATTTTGTCTTTTAAAAAAGCACCAGTTAAATCAATGTCAATTACATTAAAACATGCAAGTTTCAGGACTAATCACTTTCTCTCACCCTCCTTCATTTCCCAGATACTTCAGGGAGAACCCCATTGATTACCTGTCCTTCTCAGCAGCAAACACTGCCTGAGACCAAGGCCAGGAATGGGAGGGAAATGCCTCTCTTCCACAGCTGAGCCAGAAACGCAGCAATGGGCCCCAGGAGAAACACCATCGCTTGCCACCACGTTCCAGCCCTAAGCCATTTGCCAAAACTGGGAGACTGTCAAACTGGGCCTCTCCTCTCCAAAGGCCCCTTAACACGTTCCAATTCCCTCCTAAACTGTGGCTAAATGACTGATATAAGATGCCAGAAGGGTAAGCTACAAGGCGTCTGGAAAGATCTTTCTCTGATCTTCACTTTCCAAAATGGCTGAACGTTGAACGATGTTGTCCTTCTGCTTACAGCATAGACGCTGTCCTCTGCCTGCACTGAGAGCCCTGGCAAAGCCCTCTCCTCCCTGCCCAGCAGCACTGCTCTCCTACCATCCTAAATCATGATCCTGAGGACTCACAGGCATCACATCCCCAGGATTTTTATCAAAGTACTCTGGCATCACTCCACCATATCTTATTATATAGGACAAAGCCATTAATCAACTGTGTGCCCCCCTCTCCCCTGCCGCCGCAGACAGTGAATGCGATCATCTGCGAGCCTTGCTGCTATCCGTCTTTTGGTGCACGGCTTTGTGAATCCGAGCAGAGGATTTGATTACGGCCACGGTACCAATCATACGCAGTGTTGGATGTCCTCCACTGCCATTGAATTCAGCGTCTTAGACATGAGGTTCGATAATGTTGTAGATACACAGGACTGATCACACAATACTATTTTTTTAGCTTTGATTTTAAAATTAGGCTAGAAGAATTAGACTAAAAAGAAAATAATTTTGCATTAAACACCATTATTAGCTTTGCTATCTGATGAAATCAAAATAGTTCCTCCCACATCATTCAGTAATGGTGAACCAATCCCAAATCAGGAAAAAAAGCAGACAACAGCATTAAGGCTTAAACTGTCAAACTGAGTTGTGTTTAGGTCTATCTTTTTAGGACAGGAGGCCAAACTAAAATACGTGTCCTATTACAGGTATATTTATAGGCCAAGTCAAAGCAGCTGCGACTGCAAATCACACTGCGTAAACAAGGAGCCCCTTAGACAGCACATCTCCTTCACAATTACTCAGTCAGTACAACTAAGAGCAATGCCTATGACATTCATTAAGGAGAGCAAGAGCACTTTTGCATGCAAATACCGGACTGGTTCTCCTTAAAAACAACCTATAACTGCTGCAAGCAAATGCCTCGACAGGATTTTGTTGTATTTACGGCTGCAGCGATTGTTCAGTTTTTAAGCCGATCTCCTTGCCTTCTCGGTAAGAAGTGATTGGAACCTTTACCTGCAAAAACCGCATCGGTATTTAAGCGGGTACTTTACTCATTGCTTTTATAAAGCGCAATTATTTAGGGTGAACGCTCGGATTAGACGTGCAGCGCTGCGGGGCGGGACCGGAGGAGATGCCAGCCCCAGCCCCAGCCCCGGCTCT